CCTATTATCACCTTGAGTATTTCCAGTGTGAATTTAGAGATCACCTAAAGAATAGATTTAACACATTCAACTCCAACGACTGGAGACCAGACAAGTTGTGGGATGACATTAAGGACGTCATACATGAAGAAAGCAAAAGGCCATAAAAAGACAACAAAGAAAGAAAAGACCTAGATGTTTGTCAGAAGAGACTCTGATGTTTTCTCTTGAACATAGAGTAGCTAAAGCAAAAGAAAGAAATGATGAAGTAAAAGAGCTGAACAGAAAAATGGTGCCAGGCTACCACTGTTAACCACTCAAACTAAGAAAGGGATCAAAACAGGAGATCCTGGATAGAGGAGGAGAAAACTGTGGAACAAAACTCAAAGTCATAAAAAAAAATTACTGGTCTGACAGAGATTGGTGAAACCCCTGAGACTATGACCCCCAGTCACTCTTTGGGCCTGGAATTGAACTCACTCCTGTGGCTTCCAGCTAAACAATATACAGGCATATAAGGTGAACATTTACATCAGTTAAGTGCACTCCTTAGAATGATGAATTATGGGAGATCAGAAGGGCATTACTTGCTCAAGGAGAAGGCTTAGAGGGAAGAAATGAATAGGAAAGGAGGACACAGGGAAAAGGTAACCACAGGAAGGAAGTGGGAAGAGAGCTGTTATACTTTGGGGATAGCAATCAATGCCACAGAACAAACTGGGTATGAACCATTGAATAGAAAGTGAATTTGCTCTGTAAACTTTCACCCAAATCACAATTAAAAAAAAAAAACCCAAACAATAGATTGCAAGGAGTGTCTCAAGAAGACCAAATAATCTACCGAAATGTGCAAAGACCTGGAATTAGAAAGACAAAAGGGAAGAACACATTCAGCATTTCTCAAACTGAAAGAACTGAAGAAAAAACTGCAGCCTTGAGTTGCAGTATTGAAGGATTCTATGGACAAACTCTGCCACTCATCTGTCACTTGTCATCCTGTGGTGGCTTCTGTGTTGCTGTGATCCTACAAGTTATGCCACCAGTATTTCAAACACGAGCAGTGTTACCCATGGTGGACAGGTTTCAGTGGAGCTCTGACTAAGAGAGACTAGGAATAAGGAAGAGGTGATCCACTTGTGGAAGAAAAAAAAAAGCCCCTGAAAACCTTAAGAGACACATTGTCAGATATAGTGCTAAAAAATAAGCCTCTGAGGTTAGAAGTCACTCAAAATATGACTGGGGAAGAACTGTCTCCTCAAAGTAGAATACCACTGAGTCATTTCCAACTCATAGCAACCCCCATTGGGTTTCTGAGGCTATAAATCTTTAAAGAAGTAGATTGTCCAGTCTTCCTTCCACAGAGCAGCTGGTGGGTTTGAACCACTGACCTTCTGGTTAGCTGTCAAGTAGAGTTGACCTTAATTACATGCATGGAGTAAAGCTTTCAGGATCTTCATTTGTTGATGTGGCACAAGTCAAAATGAGAAGGAACAGCTGCAAATATCCATTAATAATTGGAATGGAGGATGTATGAAGTGTGAATCCAGAAAAATTGGAATTTGTTAAAAATTAAATGAAATGCATAAAGATCAATATCCTAGGCATTAGTGAGCTAAAATGGACTGTTATTCACCATTTTGAATCTGACAATCATATGTTCTACTATGCCAGGAATGAAAAATTGAAGAGGAATGGCATCACATTCATTGTCAAAAAAAAAAAATTCAAGATCTATCCTGAAGTACCATGCTGTCAGGGACAGGATAATATGCATCTACCTACAAGGAACACCAATTAATATGACTATTATTCAAATTTAGGCACCAACCACCAAGCCAAAGATGAAGAAATTGAAGATTTTTACCAAATTCAACAGTCTGAAATTGAACAAACATGCAATCAATATGTATTGATAAGTACTAGTGATTGGAATGCAAAAGTTGGAAATGAAGAAGCATCAGCAGTTAGAAAATATGGCCTTGGTGACAGAAACGATGCCAGAGATTGCATGAAAAGTATTTCAAAACCTATGACATATTCATTGTAAATGCTTTTGTTCAACAACAAAATGATAACTATACGGGCGGACCTCAACAGAGAGACTACACAAGAATCAAATCCACTGAATCTGTGAAAAGAGACAGTGGAGAAGCTCAATATCATTAGTCAGAGCAAGGCCTATTGCCAGCTGTGGAACAAACCATCACTTGCTCATATGCATGTTTAAGCTGAAGCTAAGGAAAATTAAAACCAGTTCAGAAAGCCAAAATACAACCCTAGGTATATCCCACCTGAAGTTAGAGACCATCTTAAGAATATATTTCACTCATTGAACAACAATGACCAAAGAACAAATTATGGATGACATCAAGATCATCATACATGAAGAAGACAGTCATTGAAAAAAGGAAAGAAAGAAAAGACCTAAATGGATGGATGTCAGAAGAGACTATGAAACGTGTTCTTGAATGAAGAGTAGCTAAAATGAATGGAAGAAATGATGAAATAGAAGATCTGAACAGACAGTATCAAAGAAGAGACAGAGAAGACAAAGTATTATAATGAAATATGCAAAGATTTGGAGTTAGAAAATCAAAAGGGACGTGTACACTCTATATTTCTCAAATAGAAAGAACTGAAGAAAAAAATTCAAGCCTAAAGCTGCAATGTTGAAGGATTATATTGGCAAAATATTGAAGTGGAGGAAGCATCAAAAGGAAATAGAAGGAATACAGGGTCACTGTACCAAAAAGAATTGGTTAGTGTTCATCCATTTCAGGAGGTAGCATATGATCAAGAATTTCTGATATCAAAGGAATAAATCTAAGCTGCACTGAAGAAATTGGAGAAAAATGAGGCTTCCAGAATTGATGGAATACTCATTGAGATGTTTCCAACAAACAGATGCAATGCTAGAAGCACTCGCTCATTTATGCAAAGAAATTTCGAAGAAAGCTACCTGACCAAATGACTGAGAGAGATCCGTATTTTAGCCCATTCCAAAGAAAGGTGATCTAAGAGAATGTGAAAATATCAAACCATACCATTAATATCACATGCAAGTAAAATTATGCTGAAAATAATTTTTAAATGGCTGCACCAGTTCATAGATGGGGAATTGACAGAAATTCAAGCTGTATTCAAAAGAGGACATGGAATGAGAGATATAATTGCTAATGTCAGATGGATTTTGACTGAAAGCAAAGAATACCATCAAGATGTTTACCTGTGTTTTATTGACTCTGCAAATGCATTTGACTTTGTGATCACAATAAATGATGGATAACATTAAGAATGGGAATTCTAGTTCTGGTAAGATGGTGGATAGGCAGAAAGATTGCACAGACCCTCT